ATTTCTGCTTATTGCCCACAATACGGCTTAATCACTGTGTCTGCATTTTATCCGTTATTTTCTTAAAAAAATTTTGGTTCAAAAACACACTCTTGGAACTATTATTCTCTATTTGGAGGTCAGAAAAAAACATTCATAAATATCAGAGCTAGGGGCTTCCAAACAACTCTTTGAAGGTATTAAAAAAAACTATGGAACATCGTCTCTGTGTGCCTTCTTATTCTACCTCTTTCCCTCCCACAAAAAAACACGGTAAAGTATGATGTGAAGTGTTTAGAGGAGGGCTTTTTAACCTAGACACCATGGACACTTAGTCCATGGAAGGGCTTCAGGGAGCCTCTGAAGCCGCCATCCACACCAAATATACAAAAGGTTGTGTATATTTAACCTTTCTCTGGTTAGTCAGTGGCCCTCATCAAAAAAAAAAATAGGGATACGACCAAAGAGGTTAAGAATCACTGTAGCAGATTAAGGCATGGGACCAACAGAACTGCATGCTCTAAATCAGCCATTGCTGGGGCTGGAAATCAGGGTGGCCGATGCAAGAATAAAAGAAGCAATTTCTAGGACTTGCGGCCTTGTGCTCTCTATTTAGAAAAAAAAAAAGCTAAAAAAAATGCTCAAGATATAAAATACTTCAATAAAATTAAAAGAAAAAAAAAAAATTATGATACAAAAAGTTTAAATACAGATTTTAAAAAAATGGATACCGAAAAAAAAGAAGTCTAAGTTTTGGAACCAGACTTTTGCTAAAAAGCAACTCCACTAGGGCCAGGGTGCGGGAGCCTGCAGCATGCAGCGTTCACAGGAAAAAACCAGCTCTGATTAACAAAAAAAACCACATGGGCTGTCCTTGAGGTCCAAGAAGTCAAATTAGTAGTAAACAAAAGCCTTCTAAGAAATAAATGGAAAGAAATAAAAGTAGATTAGACAGGAGAGGGCAGGAGGGAAGCACTGGGAAGGGACCCCAGGACTGTCCCGTGGCAGCAATCAGAAGAATTTCAGCTGAGCCCAGTGGAAACGGAAGATGAAACCAAATCAGAGCTGGGCTAAGTGGATTCCTTTCCAAAAAAAGGCTGGAGCCTAACTGAATCTGTAATAAATCTCTGTGTCTGAAGCTCCTCTGAAAAAAATTCAAACTCAGTCTTCAAAAACCTTATTCAAGTGATTTCATTCCATTATTTCAAAAAAATCTAAGACAAGAAAGAGCATCCCAGGGGTGCCTGTCTGAAGATGACATCAGTAAAAAAAGGCAAAGAGTATAGCCTCCCTTTTCCCTCTCCAGGTTACCCGAGTCCTGAGAAAAAAAAGGAAAGAAAGACTTTCTGCAGGAAGACACTGACCTGCTTCTAGACTCCCAGGTCACGTGAGTTTTCCTAGGGATGGATACATTCAGGCCATCCCTCCGCTAGCAAATGCTCAAAAAAAGTCATGAGAAGATCTGGTCCATTAACCATAAACAGCTAAACAGCAGGGTCGGAAAAAAATTTTAAAGTCTTCTATCCATTACCAAAATCCATTCATTCAAGCATGTCTTTAAAAAAAATCGCTGTATTGGGGGCTTGTGTGTCTATGTTAGGTGGCACCAGAAGACACAAAAAAAAAGTAAGGTCCCTTGAGGAATTCCCACTCACCTTGGGGAGCAGGCATAGAACATAACTGTTCACCAGAGGAACCACCGTGTACCCCAAACTACAAACACAAGTACTGAACAGGAAAAAAAGTGGGAGAGTGATCAGAACAAGCGTTCCTGTAACAATACCCATCTTCAATCGAAAAAAAATGCTAGAGACTGGCCAGCACACTCTTGCGCATTGCCTCGCTTACTCCTCAAAAAAAAACTGTAGGATAGCTATCAGCCTCCTTTTACAAATGAAATTATATTAAGAGATGAAAAAAAATGGTAGGACTGGAACCTGGACGTACTGACTCTAAATCCTTGCACTCTTTCTAAAAAAATGCCAGGAGTGCATGTTTGCTCCCTGGTTGATCATCAGACCTCGGCAAGAGAAAAAAAAACTTTTGTAGAGACACATAGCAAGTTTGGGTAAGGCCACCATTTAACCCCAGGCCTCATGACAGATAATCTGACGCTGCTCCCAGAATACCTTTCAACTGGCATCTATCGGGGTGCATGCCTGAGCTTCATCTTGGTACCAAGAGCAGGAAAAGCTAACATGATTACCAAAAAAAAATTCTGAAAGAGGCGATGCAACCTCATCAGAAGAGTACGAGGGCAGCAGAACAGACCTGGGCATGAGGGATGGAGCAGTAAGAGGGTCATCAGAAGGGCTGGTGATGGTCAGTACCATCAGCCCAGGCCACATTATCCTGAAAACCCATAGCGAGATGTCTGTCGGGGTTTAAAAAAACTTGTCCTCATACCTGGGGGTTTTAGATGTCTCCTTCAAGAGTTCTGTCTGCAATGGCAATGAACAAAGCTTCACGGAAAGAAAAGCAGCAATCTAAATCTTCTCCCTTATAAAAAAAAAGTTGGCAACAGGAGTTCGGCTAGAGCTTAAGGGATTTCTATACACTGATCAAAAAAAACAGCCTCATCTATTTAATTGGACCAGTCTAGAGGGAAAGAACAGAGCCTTGGTTTCTGGCCTGGATTTAATGACTTGTACATGTTCATTTCCTCCATTAAATTGTACACTCCATACTGATTTTTTTTGTTTTTTTGTTTTTTTTTTTACATGTTCATTTCCTCCATTAAATTGTACACTAAAAAAAGATTTTTTTTGTTTTTTTGTTTTTTTTTTTTTTGAGACGGAGTCTCACACTGAAAAAAAGGCTGGAGGGCAATGGTACAATCTCGGCTCACTGTAACCTCTGCCTCCTGGGTTCAAGCGATTCTCCCATCTCAGCCTCCTGAGCAGCTGGGATTTCAGGCACCCGTTATCAAAAAAAGCTAGTTTTTGTATTTTTGTAGAGATGGGGTTTCATCATGTTGGCCAGACTGGTCTTGAACTCCTGACCTCAGGTGATCTGCCTGCCTCGGCCTCCCAAAGTGCTGGGATTATAGATGTGAGCCACTGCACCCAGCCTGGGTCTTATCCAAAGTAGCAGAAGTATTTGATAAAAAAATTGAATTAAATTGAACAAATACACCTGGCTTTGCCTCGTGTGACTTTCGGGGAAAAAAAGCATGTCTCCAAACCTGAGCGCCTTCATTTTTCAAATAGGAAGGAATTCCTGTTTGTCCCGCTGACCTCATACAGCTGTCACCTGTCATGAGGACTAAGTATGATCACGTAAAAAAAATGTACGAGCAGTATTCATAGTTTCTAGTCCCATATAAACACAAAGGTCTAGTAAAAAAACTTATGAACATTTGCTTGCAGGTGGCCCTGTGTTGGGTATATCGTACATTAGAAAAAAACCTGTACATCATTTTTCTGTCAAGACTTTCACACAGTAAGCCCTTAATAAGGAAAAAAAGTACCTCGCTGATTTGACTAGCTAAGTACCCCCAAGACCAGAAAAGGAAAGTAAAAAAAGAGGCTACAACAGACAGTGTGGTGTTCTTCCCCTAGCCTGGGTAAACATGCCAGACATGAGAAAAAGAACAGGAAGAGCTGAGTGCCTTCAGGAAATCCGAGTGTTACTCCAAAAAAACACATGCTGACTTTATTTAAAGATCAAATAAAGGCACTCTGGCTAGCATTCGAAAAAAATGAGCACGGGGGAATCTTATTTTTAAGAATCCCTCAGGCATTTGTCATTTCTAAAAAAACCATGTGGGCGGCTGCCAATGTTATGGGATCAGCCGGCCCCTGGACACGCCCTGAGCAACCCTGATACCCGATCCTTCCACCGCCACTCTTCCGCACACAAGGGCATGGCGAAAAAAAGGGTCCTGTTAAAGTGTCAAGTGCTTCCTATGATACCCACACACCAGGTCTCAAAAAAACCCACCGGTGCCTGGCTAGGTGGGCATGTGAGCTCTCCTTTGGAAGGGTCACAAAAAAAAGGAGAGGGAGTTCTGCTGAGGTGGAAAAGCCAGACAGCAGAGACCCCTGGGAAAAAAAGGGCAGAGGAGACTCCTTAAGCGGGTGAAACTAACCATCGTGTTTTAACAAGAAAAAAAAACCCTAAACCAGTTCTCCCATTTAGTTTATTGACAGTTACTGCTAGAACCAAAAAAAATGACTCCTTCCCTTCCTCCTTCCTCCTTCCTCCTTCCCCCAATAACGAATACAAAAAAAGTCCCAGATCCCTTCATGGCACTGAGCTGGTTACCAAGATAACTACGAAGCCAAAAAAATCTCCCGGGGGCAGGGGTAGGGGTGGCCATCCGGTATGCCTACTGCGACGGGAAAAAAACTCTCCTGGCAAGGTGGGCAGAGAGCTGCAGGGGTAGGACGGCAAAGTAACAAAAAAAATAGGCCTTAAGGGATTACAGAGTTCTGTCAAGCCCAGGGGGTTGTGATGGGGAAGGCGTTTAAGGCAGAGGAAATAGCTGTGTGAGGACGGAGGAGTGAGAAGTTCAGGGTCACGGTGGGTCCTGGTGAGCAGCAGTGAGCACTGGGTGGGTGGAAAGGGAGAGAGGAAGAAAAAAAAGAAGAGGCTGTAAAGCTGAACTGCCACAAAGAGGGTCAAGGGCTTGCCGTGCAAGGGATATAGACTGTTCTGTGGGCAATGGGGAGGAGGCACAAACGAGTTGACCTTGTAAAAAAAGCACAGGAGCAGTGGTGTTCTGAGGCTGGTTTGCACCAGGGTGCAAGAGTAAAAAAAAAGATTATTTTTACAAGAAGGTTGATTTTACATTTAAAATCAGCCATGGTTGGCATGCCTGCATCACAGAAATAGGCAAATGTCACAAAGCAGATTTTTTTTCCAGAGTGGTTAAAAAAAATTTACCAGCACACATTGGGCATGCGTGTGTATGCATGCCCACATATGTAGAAAAAAAAACCAATAACAAAAGGGTTCAGCAACAGCAGAAAAAAAGGATGCCAGGCAGAAAAAAAAAAGATCTTGGCACACTCACTCACCAGTCTGAGATTCTTCATTGCTTGGGGAAAAAAAAAATGATGTAGCTGCAGTTTGCCAACTTTCATCACTTGAACCCCTCTGACGGGATAAAAAAATGGGAAAAAAATCCTGGAAGAAACCACACAGCAAACAGTGTCAGCAGCTCTCAAAAAAACAGTCAGCATTTCACCAGGAGACTATGAAAGTAGGAGCAAACACCAGCTGTGAAAAAAAATGAGGAAATTAGTTTTGCAATCCAGGAGAATGCAGTACTGAGGGGAATTAAAAAAAAATCCACAATCGGTCTCCAGCTCCTCCACGTTTTGTGTTAGGGAAAAAAAATGAAAAAAAAAGAAGGTCCCCCTCATAAACACTAGAGAAGAGAAACAAAAGTTTGGAGCTCTAAAAAAATATCTGGGAGGGATGCGCTGGGGAGAACAGGTGCTAATCTTCTCCTCCAGGCTCCTCCCTGAAGTGCTAGCACTAGCAGAGCCCTGGAACAGAAGATTGCCTCTCAATACAAAAAAAATGAATAAATAAAGTTTTCATGATCCCCCAACTAGATACTACCACATCCCCCTAAAAAAAGCAAAGCCCTCTGATGGCATCTCAGCTGTGGAGTCCATCATGGAACACCTTTCTTATAAGCACGTGTGTATTTATTTATCACCTCACTGGATTATAATGCTTTTTATTCAGAAAAAAAATCTGCGTTCTCCATGACGCCTGACAAGCAGGAGGAACGCCATCCACGCTGGAAAAAAATCACATAGAGCAGAATAGAATACGGTGTTGTCGTGGACCAAAGAAAGGACTGAAAAAAACTCCAGCTACCGGGTGTTTCAGACCCTGTGATGAGCTGTATTACTTCAATTCAAAAAAAATTTACCACCTTGAATTTAACCAAATACGAGCAGTTTGGCCTGTTCTGGCACAAAAAAACTCTACCCCTACTCTTAGAGAATAATGAGCCCCTGCTCTTTACGCACAATTGAAAAAAAGGGAAATGCCTACACACACACACACACACACACACACACACACATACATACAAAAAAAATTTAAATGAGCTTTTCAGGCCAGGTGTGATGGCTCCCACCTGTAATCCCAGCAAAAAAAAGGCTGAGGCAGACGGATTGCTTGAGCTTAGGAGTTTGAGACCAGCTTGGGTAAAAAAACAAAACCCTGTCTCTATAAAAAATACAAAAATGAGCCAGGTGTAGCGGAGCAAAAAAAAAGTCCCAGCTACCTAGGACGCTGAGGTGGGAGGATCACTCGAGCCCAGGAGGCTGAGGCTGCAGTTTCACACCACTGCACTCCACCCTGGGTGACAGAGTGAGACCCTGTCTCAAAAAAAGAAGTTTTTTCCTTAAGGCTGAATCATCCCATTAGACACAAGACACACATTCCTGCAGGAGTTAAAACAAGGTTACATGATGGAGCATGAGTCAGCGCCCAAGCAAGGCAAAAAAAAATGTACGCTAGATGTTCAAGTTTGTTGAATTGAACTGAGAAAATGATACAAAAAAAAAGAAGACAAAGAGGTGACTGACGGCTGGACCGGGGAAGGCTTCCTGGAGCAGGGAAACTGGACTTACACTGGCTCCCAAGGATTTGGAGAGGCTTGGCTGGGTAGGAGAAGGAAAAAAAATCCCAGCCATCAGAGAGAACGAGCAAGGGCTCACTCTAAATGCGGCTTCTCAAAAAAAAGAGGTGCCTGCCCACAGACATCAATAAGATAATCCTAAAGTCCATCAGTTATACAAGGCTTGCCATGTGCCAGGCACTGTTCCAACTGCTTTTCATCCATGAACCCAGAGAACCCCATCTAAGCTCTATGATGTAATAGTGATGAGGCAGATTTACCAGGAGAGACAGGAAAAAAATCTGACAAGTGCACACATATCTGCAAACCATTCCCTCTCGCTGAATCTTAACAAAAAAACCCACAAAATGTGATATGGAAACATTTGTTTTCATTCATGCTCTTAAAAAAGAAAAAAACAGTACCTGGGAGGAAAGTATTTAAACCGACAGAAGATTGGGCATGCCTCTTAAAAAGCTGAAAAGGGCCTAGGCACAGTGGCTCACACCTGCAGTCCCAGCACTTTGGGAGGCCGAGGCGGGCAGATCACGAGGTCAGTAGTTTGAGACTAGCCTGGTCAATATGGTGAAAAAAAACCTCTACTAAAAATACAAAAATTAGCTGGGCATGGTGGCACGCGCCTGTAATAAAAAAAACTCGGGAGGCTGCAGCTGGCAGATCTGTTGAGCCTGGGAGGTGGAGGCTGCAAAAAAACATGATCATCCCACTGCACTCCACCCTGGGTGACAGAGTGAGACCCTGTCTCAAAAAAAAGAAGTTTTTTCCTTAAGGCTGAATCATCCCATTAGACACAAGACAC